TAATATGCAATTGAAATGTTTTCGTTTACTCATCTATTGTTTGAATCAGAACATCAACACCCCAAACTGTTTGGTGTGTGTGTGTCCTTGCAATGAGGTCTGAGTGAACCTTGGGTTAAGTCTCATACCCATTGCAGACACAAATTGAAAGTCTTATTTGTTAAGCTGAACTTTTTGAAATGCTCTTTGATGCGGCTTCTTAAATTAGCCAGTGGCACAACTACGGCGTGGCTGAATGACTCTTAATCCCTGGCAGCATGGAGAATCACCCGGCATGTGGGGCCGCCAGGAAAATGGAACATTTTACATTTGTACTGACCATATTTCTTACATACAAGGATCTACTGTCAGAATGAGACGTGCGGCTTCAGTAAGGTACACAGGTGGCATCTCCCATTAACAAAATAACTGCTGTCTAAAAAAGACCTTAAAATTTCTTCCTTTTACTCAGAATAGTTTTAAAATTATCTGTCAAAAGTGTTCAACTGGTTTTCCACTGAAGAGAGGGAAGTGGTGAAACCACCCATTCATTTGCTTTTTACTTTTTTGCTTTTACCTTTTGGTAACTCTCAAATTCTAAAAGTGTTAAAAGTGAAAAACATTATTTTCTTGTAGTATCTTCATAACTGTTAGATTATGGACCAAATCTGTACTTATTTAAAAAATAAGAGCAGTAACTCATGCTCATTTCGCTGTTCACTAAGTACCAGGCCAACCACACTGCACAGAAACCCACTAGGACGGTTTCCAAGTGAGAGGCATCTAGCACTTAGCGCTCATCTTCAGAGAACTTCCAAAATGCAGATCACTTTCTCCCTGGGGTTGTGACGATCATAGTAGTTCTGACATCCACTTGTTACCTTGGTGCTTAGTAGTTGAAGAACATCCTCTGTAGAAATCTCACAGGCCACTTTGAAAGCTGAGGAACGCGCCCCTTACTTTCACCAGAAGTACAATTCGGAACTCAGTATCAACTTTCCTAAATCACGGAATAGTGTCATTATTTTTACATATTGGGTATGATTTTACATGTAAAAGTATCTGAATCACAGTTGTGTCAAGACAACCAAAATGTTTTTAGGAATTACCTGTGGTAAAATGTGTTTTTTTTCCCATTCTCCTATCTGATTTTTTTTTAAAGTACTTAAACACTCTGAAAATACCTTATTTATTACTTTAGATGTATAGGTCTCTTCAACTACAATGTTGTATTTTTTTTGAAGGCTTGTTCTTCATTGTATGTCCAGTCCCCAAAACAATGAATGATAGCCACTTAATAAACTTTTGTTAAATCAATGAATTTTCAAGAAAATACAGTGTTTGTGCAAATTGAAAATCGTGCATTTATGAAAGTGTGATGTGTTGGAAAAGGAGCAAAAATTTCCTAGTCCTGAACTGTCTAAGTTGATAGGAAACACTTAACCTCTAAAAATGTTGCATCCTTTACCATCAGAGTGATCTAGAAAGGGGATGAAATTTTATGGCAGAAACACACATCTCTTAGCATTCTATGTTTCTTTTTATTCTTCCAAAAATAAAACCAAGATGGAATTTCTCCAAAAACCACTGGAAAATGCAGTTCAGTTTTTCTTTCCAAACAGATCTTCAAAATAGAACAGCGGGTGTTTTTCCTTACTTAGTCATCCTTTTTGTCAATGGAATATACAATCTTGTTTGTTGAATCTCAGAACTTTTCAAAGAGGGTCTGACGATATGGAATTTGAGTGAAAGATACCTAGCCTTCTAAATTTATTTAAACAAAGGCAGTGGATGAAAGGCTAATCTGTGCTCTACTCTGATTGGCTTCTTCAAATCTCAGGGATGATTCCACTCACATTTTCTATAGAGACTACTGACCACCACTAGGAGGACTCTGGAAAGAGATTCTGGGATCCCATTCCATTTCTGCAGCAATCGCATGCTGCTAATTGTTAACCAGCCTCAGAATACTTAACAGCCTACCATATTTTGGTAAAATAGTAGTAGTAATAGTGATAGCCTTATTGGGTCAGAGATAAAGATATAATGTGGCCCTATTGCCTATTATTTCCTTAAGCGTGTGTTGTTTTACTTTAGCCTTTATACCAGTTCTGAATGACTGATTAACCTCCCGGTGGAGGAAAGGTATCCCATTGCCGTTGGCACAGCTGATTGGATTAGCGAGGCACCGCCCATGTGTGGTTCTAGCAAAGAGCTGGAGATCTGTGGGGGAAGCACCTTTCCATACATATGGCTCCCGGCTGAGTCAACCGTCTGTGGAGAGAGCTGCATGCCATTTGTCTTCCTTTCAGTGACAATGACGGCATCCATGTGGACCCCTGTCAGGGTGCTCTGGGTAGGAGAAGCCGCGTCAGCCTTGCAAGTCTGTGCTTGTCCACATTCCAGATGCAAAAATGCAGGCGTCTCAGTAGCGTGCGACTCCAGTGTAACGTTCCCTGCAGTTTACTTTTATTGAGCCTTCTGATTTGAAATCCAAAACTGTTACAAAGCTGTGTGGTTGAGGTGCTGTTGCCAACATTATGTAGTTGTTTCTCTCTCTGGATCTTTGTGAAAAGAAATGGGTCTTTGTGAAAGCTGTGTCTGTTTTGTTTCTGTTTAAGTTTTTGAGGATTTGAAAAAAGTAAAACAATAATATCAAGGCATGTGGTCAGAGCATTTAAATATAAAAGGCAAAACCTTTTTTTGAAGTAACTCAAAAAGATATTACTCTTCAATGATGTAGCTATCACTTTTAAATGTGTCACTTTGTGAATGTTTGAAGTTTTAATGAGACCCTGTCGTCACATTCTTTTCCATAAATCCGATATTAAAAAAGGAAGGGATGAAAAATAATCATTCTTCTTGTACTACTGTAATTTGGTAATATTACACTTTAAAAAGCGATGCTTTGCCAAGCTTCCAGATAGCCCTGGGTCACAAGGGTTTGGTCGTCGAGGTCCTCTTTGCAGTAAATCAAGGGCAGCTGTAAATGATGACCGTCCCCGGTTGTGTGTGATCTCTAAGTAGTCCCTCTCTTAAGCGCCATATTCTGTGCACAAGCCCAACCGTTACAACGGAGAAAGGGGACAGGACAGCCCCAATTTTTATTTCTGGCTCTCCTGAAGTTGCCAAGAAGAAATGGGCTTATTCTAAGAGTGACAGACATGGATCAGAAAGAGAAAAACCCAGACTCACCTCTCCAGGAAGCTTACTTAAGCGTCAAATGGGCCTTATGTGTAGTTGGACTAGGCAGCTGCCCTCCAGGCTGCAGAGGTGCTAGGAACCCCCATCCTTTCTTCAGATCTCACCCGTGTCAGCAGCGCCACGTGCACTACCCGTCAGCCCTGCTCAGTGGTCCGTTTGCAGGGAACAGGGTGGGGAGAGACTCCTACCTGAGTTTGAATCCTGGCTTCAGACCTTTGGACTCAGGGGTGACAAGCTATTAAACCTCTCAAAGCCTTGGAGTCCTCATTTGTAAAGGAGGCTAATAATCGTATCTGCCTCGGGTGACGGTAGAGACTACACAAAATAATCCCTTAGTATAATTCCTGGCGCACAGTAAGAGCTCTGTAAATCTAAGCTGCTCATATTATGATGTTTATTATTGTTATTCCACAGCTAAAAAAGGAATTGAAAGGCCAATACCCCCCCACCCCCCGGGGAGGCTAACACATTGACGTCACTGGTAAAGGGAGGGTCCTGGGTGCTTAACATGTGAGAAAATCAGAAAACGGAGAAAAAGCCGAAAGTAGAGGTGGGGCAAAAGAGACAGACCTTTAGGTGCTTTCTCGGGCCTCATTATTTTGCTTAAAGGTCACTTCTTTTCCCAGCCTCAGTTAAATACAGTTTATAGTGTCTGTTTTTCATTTAACTTTTACAATTATAAATATGTCCTTATGTTGGACTCATCCCACACCATCTAGTCTGGAACAATATCTGACATATTAGGCCTCCAGAAATGTTTGTGGGATGGACTGACTTTTAAACTTTAAAAGTCAAAAACCTGGTTTCTACTTCTGTTTAATAGAAAAGCTAGTATTTGCCCGTTTATTGTATCACAAGTGCTTACCAAATGCCTTTCAGTACATCAGTTAAGACAGATGGCTGAGTTTAAGATGACATTTCTCTGTCTTTAAGAATAGTGCAGATCCCTAGCCATTTAACCACAGAGAAGAAAACCTTGTATTATCATTCTGGAGCAGTCTCATTTTGTTTTTTAATTGGGTGGTACTCCATTTACTCCAATACCCAGTCACACTGGATGGCCAGTGAAATCAATTTAAGGCTCTCACAAGGATATAAATCAAATTTCAGACCTCTTGAAAATTATTGAGATAGTAGGAAGTTTGTATTTCTAAGTTCTTTGCCTCGAACCTAAATATCATCTAGTCTGAAGCCTTTTGATCCTCGAGCTCCTACATCGGTTTCCCTCCTTGCTCATAGCATCACTCATTTAGTGAGGTGCCGCGGTGTTGCTTTTGCCCTGTGGCTGAGTTTTATTTGCAGCTGCATATTTTTATATGATTGCTTACACTGTGAAGATGTAAATTACTTTCGGGTATGCTCAATAACACTTTTTAAAAATTCACACAGATTTGTGGTTCCATAATCTCGGTGAATACACCAAGGATACCTGTTTGTTCTGATTCTGATATTGAAAATATAATAGATGGTGTGATAAGGCCAACTTCATTAATTCATTTATAAGTACCATAATACAAAAGTTAATTTGTCCATACATAGCCTCCAATTATCTCCTCAATTCCTGGTAATAGCCACAAGCCCATCTTTCATTTTTATTACCTCCCAGTTAATTGCACTAATAGGTTTTGCTTTTCATTTCTACATGATTTTCATTAGAAAAAGTGGCAAGTGTTAACTCTTGCTGCTTTTTCGTCAGTAAGCATTGCAGGCTTTTTAATCAGAGATGAACAAGGAAAATGAATTTTTAAAACTTTCATGTAAATGTGCTTGCTAGCCTCAAGATTCCAGATGACTACTTCTAACTTTTACTTTTTTAGAAAAGAAGAGGCTTATTTGGGACCAATAAATTCTGCCAGGTAAGGAATATTGGTAGCTAGAACTATGTGGGGTTTTCTTTTTTTCCTTAAAAAGAAAACAACAACAACAACAACAACAACAACAAAAACACTTCTGTAGCATTATTTACCAATGAATCGCAATTTTCTCAATCCATAGATAGCTTTCTTGTGTAATCTGAATGAACATGAGCTAATTTAATATGAGTATTTACAAGGTACTTGTTCATTTAAAAGTGATACAAACATTTTAATAGAGAGGTTTGAAAACACTTGTTTATTTTTAATAATCAAATGTCTATGAGACAGCCAGTTGACTCTTTAAAAGAAAACTCTTATTGTCATTAATTGCAATATCTCCAGTGATTTTCCTGAGTATTCTCCATATGAGATTATTATGATATGTATATGTAGTCTTGACTGTACTAAATTGAATCACTTGCAAAGATCACATTGTAGGATTTACGTGAATGTTTTTATTCACCCTGAATGTTTTATTCACCCTAAAAACTGGTGATTGAATAAAAGAATTACTGTTGACTTAGTTCTACATATCTCATTATAATTACAGAGGACAGACATGCATTAGTAGAAGAAAAAAAATGTTAATATAAATTAACATCATAATTATTATTTTCATCTAACTTGTAGAGTATTGTAGGACTGCTAAGAAAAGTGTTCAGGATTTTATCACTTAACACTTTATTTTTTTAAGATTTTATCTATTTATTTGAGAGAGGGAGATGGAGATAGCTAGAGAGAGAGAGGGTGAGAGAAGGGAGAGAGTGCAGGAGCGGGGAGGAGAGGGAGAAGCAGGCTCCCCGCTGAGCAGGGAGCCAAAAGCAAGGCTCCATCCCAGGACCCTGGAATCATGACCTGAGCTGAAGGCAGACGCTTAACTGCTTAACCGACTGAGCCACCCAGGCGTCCCTCACTTAATACTTTGAAAAGGGAGAGGAAGAGATCTGAAAACCTTCTCTATATTCGTCCATGTCTGGATCCCACTGAAATGACTCAGGTACCTGTAGTTACTGTGTCAGATGGCAAACACTGCAAATATCAGCTAGATGGTATCTGTTTCAAGGTATCAGCTGAATTGGCAAGTGGAACAATCTTTTTTAGACAATTTAAAGTTTTCTTTCAACTAAATCGGGTTCCCCAAAATGACATTTTAATAAGAAATGTAATTATAGAATACTGTGGTAAACAGCAGAGAAAGACAAAAGAGATTTAGATGGGGGGGGCGGTGGGGAGTGGATTTTCCTGAAATAGCTGTAAAGAAAAAAAAAAAAAAGAATCAAATGGAAAATAGAAAAAATCTATTCCAAGTGAGAAACATAGGGGATAAAATTTTTACATGATTAGGAGTAAGTTGTTCAAAGGATAAAAGGCAGCAAGAGTTAATATCAGGTGACAAGGAATGGGGTAAAAGCGCTGTGTTTATTTAGTTGATTTTATAAGGATAAATAGGATTGTGTATATAAAGTAGAGAAGCCAATTCTGGTAAGAGTTTCTTGAAAGAATCTCCTCAGTTTACTTCTCGGAGAGAAGATGGCTGGGAACTTGCCTGTCTTTGTATCTGGAGTGCTCATCCACAATTCACCTTTGAGGACAGATTGCTCCGAGCCTTGGGAACACTAGGGGATATTTTCAGGCTGATGTGGTGCAAATGTGAGATTTAAGTAGAAAAAAGCTGTATTCGGAGTTATTTAAGAAATTACATAGTCAGCTAACAATTTTAAAAACCTAAGAGGAATGTTTATATTCTAGGTCATGTTGGAGCTGTCAGCAGATGTCTTGGAACTAGATTGCAACTAGATTATTTTAGATGTGCCTTTTGCCTGTGTTCCTATATTGTGGTATGGGAATAAGAAGAATATATGCACTTGTTTTAGATAATGAAAGTTTTAATTTTTAATGTTAATTTTCAATCTTTTTAAAGTGAGTAATAGGAAAGAAGACATTAAACCTATGATTTCATGAATATTATTGCTCTGTTTTTAAAAAGTCAATTTTAGTTTGAGTTAAAGAAAAAATAAGTAAATAATAATAACATAATATATGGCTATGGCAAAAATAATGAAAGCAGCATGCAGAAAACTGGTGTTTGGGAAATATTCAGATAGTTTTATCCCATGTAGTTGACACATAACCAGTAAGTATTTTTCAGAGCCTGAGAACAGAAAATATCTCAATAAAATGCTCTCACTTTTTAACTTTAAAAAACAATGTACTTTTTTTCATCCCGCCAATATAGTTAGCCTATTTTATTTTTAAGCCCATTCAAACTGCTTTGCCATCTCTAGTAACAATCAGAAAGTATAGTTTCATGTTTTGCAAAGGGATGAATGAGACTTAAATGTATCCATTTGTGAGTAAACTAAAAAAGTAAACTAAAGTTTTATTTTCTGAACTTTTGAGATTTTCTTTGCCCATAGAGGGTTTTTTAAATTCTCATTAAGTACACTTAATATATGAATTATGACCTTGAACCAAAGAAATCCCCAGATTTTCCAGTAAGGATATTTTTACATTTAGTAGTTAAAACAATACCTCTTAACAATTTTTTTCTCTTTTATGTTTTAAATTATCACATATAAAATCGACTTTTTGGGAGTATATATAGTTCTAAAAATTTTAACATGTGTAAATTTGGGCAACCACCACTACCGTCAGGATACAGTTCTGTCACTCCAGAACATTCCCCTCTTCAAATTTTTGTCCTGTGTACTGTGAATACTTTGTCCTGTCATCTCTCTTAAACTCATAGCAAAAAAAATAGGCTATACTACTATTCAGTAATTCTGTAATCCACACTCTTTTCTAATATACTTAAATTCTTCTAATTGCTAATTTTATACTTTGTTGATTTATACTCCTGATCAGGGATAGTATTCATTTGTCCTCTCTACCAAATATCATCAACTAATCCAATCCTAAACTCTAACCTCAGGAGATTTCCTGATGGTTTCAGTGGATCTGTCCTTGTTCATGTTACATGTGTTTATAAGTAATGCTTTGTTCATCATTCACATTGTTTTTTGAACTGCCAGTTGTCTGATGTTATTGCTGGAGATTATCTGGAGTATGAAAGAGAATCACTGCTCTGTCTCTCTTATTATAGGCTCTGCAGATAGTGTTCGTTCTTATCCAAGTATTTTCATGGCGTTATGCCATAGTTTTTCTATGGTTGAGTACTTTCATCACCATATATTTTTCCGAATATGTATGGAACATGCAAACCAAAGGAAGGAAAGTCATAAGTTATAAGTTAAAACTTTACTTTTTAAAAAAATTTTTTTTAATTTTATTTATTTATTTGACACAGAGAGACAGCGAGAGAGGGAACACAAGCAGGGGGAGTGGGAGAGGGAGAAGCCGGCTTCCCGCGGAGCAGGGAGCCCGATGTGGGGCTCGATCCCAGGACCCTGGGATCATGACCTGAGCCTAAGGCAGACGTTTAACGACTGAGCCACCCAGGTGCCCCAAAACTTTACTTTTTTTAAATTTAGATTCAATTAGCCAACATTAGTTTCAGATGTAGTGTCAGTAATTCATCAGTTGCATATAACACCCAGTGCTGATCACATCACATGCCCTCCTTAATGCCCACCACCCAGTTACCCCACCTCCCATCCAGCAATTCTCAGTTTGCTTCCTATAGTTAAGAGTCTCTCATAGTTTGTCTCCCTCTCTGATGACTTCCCATTCAGTTTTCCCTCCCTTCCCCTATGATCCTCTGTGCTATTTCCTATATTCCACATATGAGTGAGATCATATGATAATTGTCTTTCTCTGATGGACTTATTTCACTCAGCATAATACCTTCCAGTTCCATCCACATCAATGTAAATGGTAAGTATTCATCCTTTTTGATGGCTGAGTAGTATTCCATTGTGTCTATATCTATATCTATACACATCTTCTTTATCAGATATTCTTTGTGTGTGTGTGTGTGTGTGTGTATACACCACATCTTCTTTATCCAGTCCTCTGTTGATGGACATCTCAGCTCTTTCCACAGTTTGGCTCTTGTGGACATTGCTGCTATGGGTATTGGGGTACAGGTGCCCCTTGAGATCACTACATTTTTTTCCATTGGGTAAATACCTAGTAGTGCAATTCCTGGGTCATAGGATAGCTCTATTTTTAACTTCTTGAGTTATCTCCATACGGTTTTCCAGAGTGACTGCACCAGTTTTCGTTCCCACCAACAGTGTAAAAGGGTTCCCCTTTCTCTGCATCCTCATCAACATTTGTTGTTTCCTGACTTGATAATTTTAGCCATTCTGACTGGTGCAAGGTGGTATCTCATTGTGGTTTTGTATTTCCCTGATGGCAAGTGATGTGGAGCATTTTTTCATGTGTCTATTGGCCATTTGGATGTCTTCTTTGGACAAATGTCTGTTCATGTTTCCTGCCCATTACTTGACTGGATTCTTTGTTTTTTGGGTGTTGACTTTGATAAGTTCTTTATAGATCTTGGATACTAGCCCTTTATCTGATATGTCATTTGCATATATCTTCTCCCATTCCGTAGGTTGTCTTTTAGTTTTGTCGACTGTTTCCTTTGCTGTGCAAAAGTTTTTTATCTTGATGAAATCCCAATAGTTCATTTTTGCTTTTGTTTCCCTTGCCTTTGTAGACATGTCTAGCAAAAAGTTGTTGTGGCTGAGGTCAAAGAGGTTGTTGCCTGTGTTCTTCTCTAGGATTTTGATAGATTCCTGTCTCACATTTAGGTCTTTCCTCCATTTTGAGTCTATTTTTGTGTGTGGTGTAAGGACATGGTCCAGTTTCATTCTTCTGCATGTGGCTGTCCAATTTTCCCAACACCATTTGTTGAAGAGACTGTCCTTTTTCCACTGGATATTCTTTCCTGCTTTGTCGAAGCTTAGTTGACCATAGAGTTGAGGAGCCATTTCTGGGCTCTCTATTCTGTTCCATTGATCTATGTGTCTGTTTTTGTGCCAGTACCATGCTGACTTGATGATTACAGCTTTGTAATATACTTTGAAGTCTGGCATTGTGATGCCACCAGCTTTGGTTTTCGTTTTCAACATTCCTCTGGCTATTCGGGGTCTTTTCTGGTTCCATACAAATTTTAGGATTATTTGTTCCAGCTTGGGAAAAATGTCAATGGTATTTTGATAGGGATTACATTAAATGTGTAGATTGCTCTGGGTAGCATAGACATTTTAACAATATTTGTTCTTCCAATCCATGAGCATGGAATGTTTTTCCATTTCTTTGTGTCTTCCTCAATTTCTTTCATAAATGTTCTGTAGTTTTTAGAGTATACATCCTTTACCTCTTCGGTTAGGTTTATTCCTAGGTATCCTGTGGGTTTTGGTGCAATTGTAAATGGGATCGACCCCTTAATTTCTCTGTCTTCTGTCTCACTGTTAGTGTATAGTAATGCCACTGATTTCTGTGCATTGATTTTATATCCTGCCATGTTGCTGAATTGCTGTATGAGTTCTAGCAATTTTAGGGTGGAGTCTTTTGGGTTTTCCACATAGAGTATCATGTCATCTGCGAAGAATGAGAGTTTGACTTCTTCTTTGCCAATTTGAATGCCTTTTATTTCTTTCTGTTGTCTGATTATGAAAGAAAGGATAAGAACCATATGATCTTCTCAATTGCTGCAGAAAAAGCCTTTGACAAAATACAATAGAGTGAGCAATAGAGTGGCTAATATCCTTTCTTGATTAAAACTCTCCACAGTGTAGGGATAAAGGGAACATACCTCAATATCTTAAAAGCCATCTATGAAAAACCCACAGCAAATATCATTCTGTTGGGGAAAAACTGAGAACTTTTCCCCTAAGGTCAGGAACACGATAGGGATGCCCACTCTCACCACTGTTGTTCAACATAGTACTAGAAGTCCTAGCCTCAGCAATCAGACAACAAAAAGTCAAAACTTTACTTGATCAATATCTGGACAAAGGTTGCATGTTAATCAATCTGCTATGGGTTTTTGAGTGTACAATTGTGACATGCATTTCAAGTAAGATGGATTTCAATTTATAGTGCATGAAACGTAATAAATTATTTTAAAATAAAGATCAGTAGTTTCTATGTTGTGATATGAGCCTGTCATTTATAACTTTGCCATAAATCAAAAATTGAGAAACTGGAATATATGTGTAATAACTGTCACAGGTTATTTCAGACCATCTTACATATCATCACCTCATATAGGGAAAGCATTAACAAGTGAATTTGAACCCTGAACTTTGGATCTTAAGTTTTCTTGTTTTATGATTCTTTTAAGTTGTTTCAAGGTTCCTTATATAGGTATAAGATTTCTTGAGATGATGTGATTCTCCTGTGATTGGGGGGGGCGGTTATTATTTCAAGCCAGTTTTTTGTTCTTGTTTTTAACTCCTGGAAACAAATACCTCATTATTGAATGAGATTCTTTATTATCCCTCTTTGGGAACTAATATTTAAAACCTTAAGGAATAATACAGCTACTTTTACTTGCTCATACTACTGTCTATCCTTTGAAGCTATACACTGACTATTTTATCATTTGCTCTTCAGATGGATCCTGTGCAAAAAGCAGTCATTAACCACACTTTTGGAGTATCCATTCCCCCAAAGAAGAAACAAGTTATTTCTTGTAATGTCTGTCAGCTTCGCTTTAATTCGGATGTGAGTATCACCTTTTCATTGTTCTCTGTAGTCTGTCAAGCTGAAAGTCTGATTGTTCTGAATATGTACATCTCTTCATATTTACATAGCCTCCAGCAGCCACTCCCATTGGTGGCCCACTTACTTCAGTGTGCCAGATTTTCCAGGGATTCAGATTCAGCATTAGAAACTTGAGCAATAGAGTGGCTAATATCAAAAATCAAGAATTCCTCCATGTAATCAATCTCACCCATATCATTTTATGCTTAATTTTGCCAATGATATTTACTTTTCAAAAATCGCTAAATAGCAGAAAATATTTTTTTAAAAGTTTAAAATGCAATGAATGCTGAAGAAAACTATTGCTATTTCTCTTTATAACAAGTGTCACATTTCATGTGTGTATGTCAAATCATATTAAATACCCAAGGGAATAATTTATTACACAATTTATATTCCCCAGAACATGGAAATGCAGGGAAATTTTTATAAATTATTTTATCTGGCCAGCATAACCATCATGCTAAAAAAAAAAGATAACAAGAAAAGGGTATAAATCATTTATTAAAGTAGAGTTTTAAGTGTAGGAGTAAGATAACATGAAATTAAAATAAATAATATTAGAATGTTTGTAATACTCAATTACCAAGTAAAGCCAATGATCAATGCAAATCTGAATCTGGAGCTATATATTATATGTGTTATTTCCTGAGTTACTCCACCTCAGAAGCCATCTTCCAAAGAACATGTTCCAAGATTCATGTTTTTTTGCAAATACTAAAACAATAAACACTCTTGTTTGCATATACCAGTAAATGTTTTTATAATTCCACATAGGAAACATAATAAAAATTATAGTCATTGGAAAAGAGTGTTTTTATCATGTTGAACATGATTTGTAGAAGTATATTTAATGCAATTTTCATCAAAAGTCCAATGAATTTTTTTGGCACTTGATAGAATCTTTCTCAACTCCCTATTCAAGAATTAAAGTGTTCCTTAAAAAATTGAGAAATATATGGTATCAATTCATTCAAAGTCTCAACATTGCCAGCTGTCCCCAGATTCATCTACAGACCCTGCACAATTCCAATCAAAATCCCAGAAAGCATTTTTGTAGAAAATGCCAAGCTATTTCTTAAATTATATAGAAAAGAAAAACCCTAGGGGCGCCTGGGTGGCTCAGTCGTTAAGCATCTGCCTTCGGCTCGGGTCATGATCCCAGGGTCCTGGGATCGAGCCCCGCATCGGGCTCCCTGCTCAGCGGGAAGCCTGCTTCTCCCTCTCCCACTCCCCCTGCTTGTGTTCCCTCTCTCGCTGTGTCTCTCTCTGTCAAATAAATAAAATCTTTAAAAAAAAAAAAAAAAGAAAGAAAAGAAAAACCCTAAACTAGCCAAAGCTTTTTTTTTTTTTTAAGAACAAATTTTGAGGACCTTACTCCTTGATTTCAATAATTACCTTAAAACCTACAGCAGTCAAGACTGTAATATTGGTGAAAGAATAGTAGATACGTTGATCAGTGGAACAGAATAGAATCCAGAAATAGACCTAAAGCTATATGGTGAGTTGATCTTCCACAAAGTTGCAGTGACAATTCAATGGAGAAAGGTTAATCTTTGCAACAAATAGTGTGATTGGATAACCACATGTAAATTTAGAAAAAGAACCTTGACGGCTGTTTCACACAAAATTCCAAAATTAACTCAAATGGATTATTTTTTTTTAAGATTTTATTTATTTATTTGACAGAGAGAGCAAGAGAGCACAAGCAGGGGGAACGGTAGAGGGAGAGGGAGAAGCAGGCTTCCCGCCAAGCAGGGAGCCCAGTGCTGGGCTCGATCCCAGGACCCTGAGATCATGACGTGAGCCGAAGGCAGACGCTTAACCATCTGAGCCATCCAGGCACCCCTCATCTATATATATAGATTATATATATAACTATAAATTGAAAAGTAAAAAACTTCAAGAAGAAAACACAGGAGGAACTCTATGTGACCTTGAATTAGGCAAAAGGTTTCTTAGGAAACAAAAAGTTTGAACTATAGGGGCACCTGGGTGGCTCAGTCCATTAAGCATCCAACTCTAGATTTTGGCTCAGGTCATGACCCAGGGTGGTGGGATCGAGCCCCACATTGGGCTCTGGCTCAACGTGGAGTCTGCCTGTCCCTTTTCCCCACAAATGCAAATAAATAAATAAATAAATAAATAAATAAATAAATAAATAAATAAATAAAATCTTTTTTAAAAAGTATGAACTATAAAAATATTGATATATTAGACATCATCAAAATTAAAAATTTCTCTTCAAATGACACTGTTATACTGTTAAGAAAATGAAAAGTTATAGACTGGGAGAAAATAATATAAAACATATGTCTTATATACAAAATATTTAAATAACTTACAACTCAATAATGAATAATAAGTGGGCAAATGATTTGAACAGGCATTTTACCAAAGAAGAAAAATGAATGACAGATAAGTATGCAAAACAGTGTTCAATATCATTAGCCATTAAGGAAGTGCAGACCACAATTAGATACCCCTCCACCTATTAAAATGATGGAAATTAAACAAATTGATAATACCAAGTGACAAGGATGGGGGCAACTGGAACTCTCATTTGTTGTTAGTAGAAATACAAAATGGTGCAGGGACTTTGGAAAATAGTTTAATAGTTATTTGTAAGAAATTTTTAGGAAGTTTAGATACATTTTCCATACAACCCAGCAATCCAGCTTTTAGGTATTTATCTAGGAGAAATGAAAACTTATGTTTGTACATATGTACCTTTTATAAAGCTACTGCTTTATGCATAACTGCCTCAAACTGGAATTGACCCAAATGTCTATCATCTGATGAGTGGATCAACAAACAAAATATAGACATACAATGGAATACTGCTTAGCAATAAAAGAAATAGTGTACTGATAACATCCTACACAATGGGAGAATCTCAAAGACAGTATGCTAAATGAAAGAAATTGGACGCAAAGACTATGTACTATATGATTTTGCTTATATAACTTTCTGCAAAAGACAAAACTATGGTAACAGAAATCAGATCAGTAGTGAACAAGGACTGAGGGTGAGGTTAGGGAATCAACTACAAAGGGTGTAAGGGGTAAGAGGGAGCTTTTTCAAGTGATGAAAATATTCTATATCTTCATTTTTGTGGTGGTGACACAACTGTTTTTGTTTTTCAAAACTCATACAACTAAATACCTCAAAAGGAATTTTACTGTATATAAAGTATACCTCAGTAACCCTGACTAGAAAAAAAAATCAGCATGATAGGAGCCATGAAATATTTTGTAAGTAGAAGACTAATTAATGATAGAGACATAAATGCAAACTAAATTGAGCTACAATATTACTACTCAATTTAAGGTATAATAATTAAAGAACTTTTACAAGAAAACACAGAATAATAAATGCTAAAATAGATCCAAGTATATTTAATAGTTTTACATAGTTATTATCCAAATTTCTACACTCACATAGCAAGTCTTCTGTTTTATATTTTTATGAGTCCATACATTGAGAAGCCATGCAGTATAGAATCTTGGATTAAGAGTCCCTGAAGGTGGGGCGCCTGGGTGGCTCAGTTGGTTGGGTGACTGCCTTCGGCTCAGGTCATGATCCTGGAGTCCTGGGATCGAGTCCCGCATCGGGCTCCCTGCTCAGCAGGGAGTCTGCTTCTCCCTCTGACCCTCCTCCCTCTCATGCTGTCTCTCATTGTCTCTCTCGCAAATAAATAAAATCTTAAAAAAAAAAGAGTCCCTGAAGGTGATTTAAATACTAATTTTGAACTTGATAAATCACTTCACCACTGTGGACCTCAGTTTCCTCTTCTGTTATAACCTAAAATAGACTACATGATCTTTGAGAGGATCATTCCAGCTCTATGATTAAAGCATTTCCATGGAATTTCTGTTAGAAGGAACACTACATCCAAAAAAATAAATTAATTTTTTTAAAAAAAGGACAGGGTATACAGCAATTGCACTACTAGATATTTACCCCAAAGATACAAATGTAGTGATCTGAAGGGGCACCTGCACCCCAGTGTTTATAGCAGCAATGTCCACAATAGCCAAACCAGGGAAAGAGCCCAGATGTCCATTGACAAATGAATGGATAAAGAAGATGTGGTGTATACACACACACACACACACACACACACACACACACACACACAATGGAATACTACTCAGCCATCAAAAAAATGAAATCTTGCCATTTGCAACGGATGGAACTAGGGGGTATTATGCTAAGCAAAATAAGTCCATCAGAGAAAGACAAGTATCATATGATCTCACTCATATGTGGAATTTAAGAAACAAAACAGAGGGTCATAGGGGAAGAGAGGAAAAAAATAAAACAAGACGAAATCAGAGAGGGAGACAAACCATAAGAGACTCTTAATCATAGGAAACAAACTGAGAGTTCCTGGAGGGGAGGGAGTTTGGGCCTGGGGCAACTAGGGGATGGACATTAAGGAGGGAACGTGATGTAATGAGCACTGTGTATTATATATGATGGATGAATCACTGACCTCTACCTCTGAAACCAATAATATATGTTAATTGAATTTAAGTTAAAATTTTTTAAATAAATAAATAATTGAATTTAAGTTAAAAAATTTATAAATAAATAAATGAATGAATGAATGAAGGACAGGGTATAAATACCTCCGCCTTACAGGTGGAATAACTAGGACCCAAAAAGAATGACTAAGAGTTTTGTTTTTCATTTGTGTCAGGGTTGGGTTACGGGAGGTGTGCCGGCCTTCTGTCTCTGCCCCAGAATCGCTCTGGGAGTAGGTTCACCTTTGACTTGAGTTTCATTTGATGTCAGTGATTTTCTTTGTATTTACTAATAGGGACGTGGAGAAATGTACACAGGTGAGCATGTGACCACCAGCTTCCTTGTCACCGCTCAAAAGTTCTGTTGATAATGGAGAAAGAAATTAAATTTCTCAGTCATGCTTAGACTCTGGGCAGTAAAGCCACAAAGTC